CAAAGCCTCTAACTTGACTTTCACAAACTTACCCTCAAACAATTCCAATGAAACCATCCCATCCTCATCGCCAAATGTTGTGTATCTCTGACTAACTGAAAAAAATACGCTGTTTAACTTCTAGGATTTATTAGCTGCAACTATCAGGATAATTACTCTTGAGTACTCGTGGGTAGGACATGTTGATGTACACTCTAGGCAATCAGAGTGCCACACTCTACTTCCAAACTATCTATGACCACAGAACTGACTATTATTTTTGGATGCCAACCAACCTTCCAATTATGTAGTCAGTGGCATACAGCATACGTACCACATATACATTTTCTTCAAAAACTAATTTGTTGTCTTCAGAACAATCAAAACCGACACTTTCCTATTTCCAAAAATGACTTATTTCGGTTCAAGAATTGAAGTTTTCCAATCAAATTAATTAAGCATATAAATTGAATTACTGACGTGTTTGGCCTCCAATCAGTTTAATATACCTTAAAAATGTGGGAAATTTAGAGGAATTTGTGGGGAATTTGAAGGAACTCATCGGAATTTATGAGAATTTGGCGAATATATAGGGAATTTGAAGGAATTTATGGGGAAGTTGAAAGAATTCATGGGGAATTTGAAAGCATTTGTGAGGAATTCAAAGGAAATGGTAGGGTCATGACATCACTGGGGTTCACATTCTTATTATAAAAAATAGTAATAAATGGAAATTTAAAAATAATTTAGTTTTGGACGTTGGATATTCATTTATATTAAAGAAATCCTCCCAAAATTACACTACATGATTTACAGGTCCAAATTTAAAAAATTCAAATGGATAAGGAATACAGTTTTTGTAGGCTAATTTTCAAGATTTTTCATGTTGTTCTTTTCTACTGAAAAAAATTTAAATTTTGGGAAAATGAGCTTCTCGCCTTCCTCTTTACATGGAAAAAGTTTCAAAATTTTTCCTTCTCTAGTTTTCCAGGAAAACTTTGAAATATATGAGACTGTATTTTCAACTAAGTAATTCAGTTTGTGTAGGTTGATTTCCAAGATTTTTCATGCTGCTGTTTTTCACTGGAAAAATTTGAAATTTTGGGAAAATGGGCTTCTCACCTTCCTCTTTACATGCAAAAAGTTTCAAATTTCTCCCTTCACTAGTTTTCCAGGAAAACTTTGAAATATGTGATACTGTATTTTCAATTAATTCAGTTATTGTAGGTCGATTTCCAATATTCCTTATGTTGTTATTCTCTACTGAAATATATTTGAAATTTTGGGAAAATGAGCTTTTTACCTTCCTCTCTACATGCAAAAAGTTTCAAAATTTTCCCTTCACTAGATTTCCAGGAAAACTTTGAAATGTGTGAGACTGTATTTTCAATTAATTCAGTTATTGTGAGTTGATTTACAATATTCCTTATGTTGTTATTTTCCATTGGAAAAATTTGAAATTTTGGGAAAATGAACCTTTCACCTTTTTCTTCACATGCAAAAAGTTTCAAAATTTTCCCTTAACTAGTTTTCTAGGAAAACTTTGAAATGTGTGAGATTGTATTTTCAACTAATTCAGTTTGTGTAGGTTGATTTCCAAGATTTATCATGTTGTTATTTTCCACTGAAACAATTTGAATTTTGGGAAAATGAGCTTCTCACCTTCCTCCTTACATGCAAAAAGTTTCAAAATTTTCCCTTCACTAGTTTTTCAAGAAAACTCTGAAATATGTGAGACTGTATTTTCAAATAATTCAGTTATTGTAGGTTGATTTCCAGGATTCCTCATGTTGTAATTTTCTACTGGAAAAATTTGAAATTTTGGGAAAATGTGCTTCTCGCCTTCCTCTTCACATGCAAAAAATTTCAAAATTTTCCCTTTACTAGTTTTCCAGAAAAACTTTGAAATGTGTGAGACTGTATTTTCAACTACTTAATTCAGTTTTTGTAGATTGATTTCCTTCCAAGATTTTTCATGTTGCTGTTTTCTACTGGAAAAATTTGAAATTTCGGGAAAATGAGCTCTCTCTTTCCTATTTACATGCAAAAAGTTTCAAATTTTCCCTTCACTAGATTTCCAGGAAAACTTTGAAATGTGTGAGACTGTATTTTCAATTAATTCAGTTATTGTAGGTTGATTTCAAATATTCCTTATGTTGTTATTTTTCACTGGAAAAATTTGAAATTTTGGGAAAATGAGCTTCTCACCTTCCTCTTTACATGCAAAAAGCTTTAGATTTCTCCCTTCACTAGTTTTCCAAGAAAACTTTGTAATATGTGATACTGTATTTTCAATTAATTTAGTTATTGTAGGTTGATTTCCAATATTCCTTATGTTGTTATTTTCCACTAGAAAAATTTGAAATTTTGGGAAAATGAGCTTCTCACCTTCCTCTTTACATGCTTGTAGTTTCAAAATTTTCCCTTCACTAGTTTTCCAGGAAAACTTTGAAATGTGTGAGACTGTATTTTCAACTAATTCAGTTTGTGTAGGTTGATTTCCAAGATTTATCATGTTGTTATTTTCCACTGAAACAATTTGAAATTTTGGGAAAATGAGCTTCTCGCCTTCCTCTTCACATGCAAAAAATTTCAAAATTTTCCCTTTGCTAGTTTTCCAGAAAAACTTTGAAATGTGTGAGACTGTATTTTCAACTAATTCAGTTTTTGTAGATTGATTTCCAAGATTTTTCATGTTGCTGTTTTCTACTGGAAAAATTTGAAATTTCGGGAAAATGAGCTCTCACTTTCATATTTACATGCAAAAAGTTTCAACTTTTCCCTTCACTAGATTTCCAGGAAAACTTTGAAATGTGTGAGACTGTATTTTCAATTAATTCAGTTATTGTAGGTTGATTTCAAATATTCCTTATGTTGTTATTTTTCACTGGAAAAATTTGAATGGAAAATGAGCTTTTCACCTTCTTCTTTACATGCAAAAAGTTTCAAAATTTTTCCTTCACTAGTTTTCCAAGAAAACTTTGAAATATGTGAGACTGTATTTTCAATTAATTCAGTTATTGTAGGTTGATTTTCATTATTCCTCATGTACTTATTTTTCACTGGAAAAATTTGAAATTTTGGGAAAATAAGCTTCTCACCTTCCTTTTTATATGCAAAGAGCTTCAAAATTTTCCCTCCACTAGTTTTCCAGGAAAACTTTCAAATGTGTGAGACTGTATTTTCAACTAATTCAGTTTTTGTAGGTTGATTTCCAAGATTCCTCATGTTGTAATTTTCAACTGGAAAAATTTGAAATTTTGGGAAAATGAGCTCTTACCTTCCTATTTACATGCAAAAAGTTACCAAATTTTCCCTTCATTAGTTTTCCAGGAAAACTTTGAAATGTGTGGTACTTGGTACTGTATTTTCAATTAATTCATTTATTATAGGTTGATTACCAATATTCTTCATATAATTTTCTACTGGAAAAATTTGAAATTTTCTGGAAATGAGCTTCTCAGCTTCCTCTTTACATGCAAAAAATTTCAAAATTTTCCCATTACTAGTTTTCCAGGAAAACTTTGAAATATGTGATACTGTATTTTCAGTTAATTCAGTTATTGTAGGTTGATTTTTAATATTCCTTATGTTGTTATTTTCCACTGGAAAAATTTGAAATTTTGGGAAAATGAGCTTTTCACCTTTCTCTTTACATGCAAAAAGTTTTAAAATTTTCCCTTTACTAGTTTTCTAGGAAAATTTTGAAATGTGTGGGACTGTATTTTCAACTAATTCAGTTTTTGTAGGTTGATTTCCCAGATTTTTCATGTTGTTACTTTCCACTAAAAAAATTTGAAATTTTGGGAAAATTAGCTTTTCACCTTCCTCTTTACATGCAAAAAGTTTCAAAATTTTCCCTTTACTAGTTTTCCAGGAGAACTTTGAAATGTGTGGGACTGTACAGGGTGTATATTTTAAGTGATACCACTATTGCTATATCCGAAACGGTAAGAGCTACAGGGTCGGTTAAATTAGAAAAAAGTTGCCTTGTTTGATGCCCATTTAAGACTCGTTTACAGTGTTGCCAAATTTCTTTTAGTTTATGAAATACAGGGTGATTTCTAAGAAACGTCCAAAAATATTCCACCATTTATTTCGAAAACTATTGATTTTTGAAACACAATTTAAATTTGAAAATTTTATAATTTTTTCCGTTCTACAATATGACATCTTCAAATTTTAAATCCGACGTTTCGTCATCAAGATACCATCATCAACATCATTCTTTTAAATACGGACCTGGATTTTTTATGTCATTTTTAGGAAGCGCCCTTAATTCTCTTTCCAAAAATGACATAAAAAATCCAGGTCCGTATTTAAAAAAATGAAGTTGATGATGGTATCTCGATGACGAAACGTCGGATTTAAAATTTGAAGATGTCATATTGTAGAGCGAAAAAAATTATAAAACTTTCAAATTTAAATTGTGTTCCGAATATCAATAGTTTTCAAAATAATTGACGAAATAATTTTAGGCCTTTTTTATAAATCGCCCTGTATTTCATAAACTAAAAGGACTTTGGCAACACTGTAAACAAGTCTTGAATGAGCATCAAAAAAGGCAACTTTTTTCTAATTTAACCGACCTTGTAGCTCTTACCGTTTCGGATATAGCCATAGTGGTATCACTTAAAATATACACCCTGTATTTTCAACTAATTCAGTTTTTGTAGGTTGATTTCCCAGATTTCTCATGTTGTCACTTTCCACTGGAAAAATTTGAAATTTTGGGAAAATGATCTTGTCACCTTCCTCTTTACATGCAAAAAGTTTCAAAATTTTCCCTTTTTTTAGAGGAATTTGTGGGTTATTTGGAGAAGTTCGTGGTGGGCTATTTGAAAGAATTTGTGATGGGATATCTGAAGGAATTTGGAGGAATTTGCAGTCATTTTGAGGAATTATGCATGAAAAATTCCCCTTTGAGGAATTGTTTGCACCAATTCTGGGATGGTGGTTTACCCCTTGCCTTTAATACTTATCGTAGTTAGTTGAATATCAACAAAATTACGCATTTTCAGATATTGGACACACCAACTATCCCAAAAGCCATCCAATCCCTACCGAACATCTTAAAACTCACAAAACTGGGCGACGAATCTACTTCGGTATTTGCAAAATCATTGATCGAAGTGGGAACGGAATTTGGCCCTTTAGTAGCCAAAAAAAGTCTAACTTTGAATCCTGAAACCCTATTTTCCATTAAAGTATTTAGTGAACAAGAAGCGGATTTAACTGAGTATTATTTAGATTGTACTGACGAGCATGCATGCTGTTGGATGATGTTTGTTAAACCTGCCGAACATGTTGGTGAACAGAATTTATTATGTTATCAGGTAACAATTTTCTATCAATCATTTGTGATGAAGACTATAGAAATCAATATTTTATAAGATACATAAGTAGAAACATTAAATTGTTTTGCTTTTTGAAGCAATGATGTTATTTGCAGGAACAAAATGACATTTATTTTGGAGCTATCAAAGACATTGAGCCTGGAGAAGAATTGAAAGTCTGGTATTCGCCTTATTATGCCTCGAAAATGGGAAAACATTTACTCAGTTTTGATGTCACAATTTTACAAGACATTGAACCAGTAATAGAATCAGGTATGAATTATTATCAGAATTTTGAAGGTGTTTCCTCAAAAATTTTAGATTATTATATTATATTATTTGGCCAAACTAATCAGAAACCAATTTTTCCTTTCAGACCCAAAGGATTTGAACGTTTTAGTAAACGAACAACAAAAAATCGTACCTCGTGCTGTATGGAATTGCAAGTTTTGCTACAAATTGGAAAAAAACGTCACAGATTTCGCCAAGCATCTTATAGGCCATTATTGTATGAGGCAAAAGAGAACGTGCGAATTTTGCAGTGTATCTTTTAGTTATAAAGCCGTAAGAATTTTTATCTGATAAAACTTGTAAATCATCTGGTAATTATTTTAGGATTACGACAAACACTTGAAACTCCACAAACAATCCAGCCTTGAAAATTCCAATCCCGAACCTAAAAAAAACCCATCAATTCTCCAGTGCCCCGATAGTTTCGACAACTCGAATTTCCTGTTGCCCCAAATGGAATTGAACATAGTGAATCTGGAAAATTTAGAAAATAATTTGTTGTTGGACGATAATTTGCGCCTCAACTTGGACATGGATGTAACTGGGGAAGAATATGATAATAATAGAGTTGAGGATTTGGTTTGCGATATTTGCCTGAAGAAATTCAAAAGCAAACCTTTACTGGTGGCACATTTGAGGATGCACCTTGGGGCTTTTTATTGTGCTAGTTGTAATAGAGTAAGGAATTATTCAGAATCTTTATGAAAAAATACATTATTTTTATTACAGGTATTTGGTAGAAAAGAAACCCTAAAACACCATAAATGCACCACGTCCTTTTTCCACAAATGCCCAAAATGTTCCAAAACGTTTTCGCAAAAAAAACGTTTAAACTTTCACATAAAAGCATTCCACGATTTGAAATATTCGTGTCCCCACTGTCATAGAAAATGCTTTGGCCAAACCGAATTGAAAAATCACGTGTGCGCAGAAGACCCGAATAGAATCCTAAAATGTCCCACTTGTTCCAGAAACTTCAGCAACGAACGTAGTTTCAGATTCCATATGAAAATGCACGAAACAACTTACGGGCCTGTAAGGTACGTTTGTTCCGAGTGCAGCCAGCTGTATTCTTCTAAAGTCATTTACGAAAGGCACTTGAAGACTGTGCATTCGCAAAATAAGCAATTCACTTGCCAAATTTGCGATAAGAAATTCGCCAGGAGGGATATTTTGAATACACATTTGTTGGAGATTCATTTACAGGTAAAATCAACTTATGTACTGGTATATTTAATAATATGTTTTCTTTTTTTTTAGGCAACCTTTGCATGTAAATTTTGCGAAAAACCCTTTACCTCTAAGCGTAACCGCGACTGTCACATAAGAAATATACACACCAACCAAAAAACTACAAAATACTCTTGCAAAGAGTGCCCAGTCCAGTTTACCTACATGCGCAACTTACAACGTCACATGAAATTGAACCACACTTACAGCAAAGATGTCAAAACTGGGGAAAAAATCAAGTGTTCCCTCTGTCCCAGGGAATATAATTATTTCAGATCGTTACAGGCACACACGAAGGCCAAACATTCTCAACAGTATTTCAATGAGAAATTGCGATCCAATAAGGACGACGGGTCTATTCATTGTCCAGAGTGTTGGCAAAAGTTTCCCAAAAGGAAAATGACGAGCTTGAAGCGGCACGTTTGGAATCAGCACCGGCAAAGGTAAGTATTCATGGTTTTAATTTTGTTTAGAAATGAATCAAAATCTTCAGTTTCAATATTCTGTTGTTGTCTGAGGTTCTCTAAATATACACTTGGTCCTTCACAAAATATGGGATAATGTATTGAGCAATTTTTCCCAATATATCAAAAACTAGCAAATTTCAACAACATTGCAAGTATATCAGCAGTTACCATTAAAACAAGCAACTTTTTTCTAATTTAACCAACCTTGTATCTGTTCATAATCTGTTTCCATTTAAGATTCGATAGTTTCTGCCAGGAGTTCAACTTAGAAAATGAATCAATGTTCCGTTGTCCATTGTGTCCTAAAGAATTTATAGTAAAGGATTCACTCCAGAGACATTTAAAAACTCATAACAACAGGTACTTATTTTGAGTCTATTTATTTAGCTCTTAGATTATTTTGTCCCTTGTAGTGAACTCAATGCAATTATTCCAAAAGAAGCACCAATCACAGTACAAAAAGCAAGCAAGCCAAATACAAACAACGAGACTCATAAAGAAACTTGTCTGATTTGTGGGCACAAATTTAAACTGAATTCTTCACTGTTACGTCATATGAAGCAGAAACATCCATCCAAGGAAAATCCAAATAGTACCCTAAGCAAAAAGGCAGAAGAAAAGGTATGTTAGATAAATTTGATTTGGTCACTATTAATTTTGAATTTTTCTTATCATTATTTCAGGAAACTAATTTACTTGGCGAAGAAGAATTCGACAACTACATGGACCTGCAAAAAACTATCGAAAATATGGACTTTAACGTTGATATGGTCAACGACAATCAATTAAGTTGCAACGAGTTTATTGATAAGTTTTTGAAAGAGAGCAGCGACCAAATTTCTCTATTTTTGACTGACAGTCCGAAATTACCAACGCCTACAGTCAATGTTGACGACCAAAACCAAAAGAAAGATATTATCGGTTTATCGATGCTGGATTTTCCCGATTTGGACTTTTCCGAAATAGAACTGGAACCTTTAGGTCCTTCAGGAGGTAATTTTTGTGTGTTTTTTTTTTAAATAATAAATTCTGAAATATTTAAATATAATTTTTTTTTTTGTAAATTTTAGGTCGTACCCCAATGCCCAGTATCGATTCGTTGATTCCAGACGTTGTGCTGTATCTCCGCAACGACAAATAAATACGATTGATTCATGAAATAAACGCACTTAAAGAAAAAAAAGTTTATTTTACAATTATTACAAGGTACCTAATTTTACTTTAATGTTTAAAAATACACTGTCAAATTGCTACTCTCTGATAATTTGGGTGTGACGTCAATGTTGCTCAGATTCTCGTTGCTTTCAGTATCAGTCTGTGAAAAATTTAAATCAATATTTAAACAGCTACATTAATAAGCAATTAGTTTACCTTGTCATCGCCCCAGCTTAACTTTTTGATCCTGGCAGAAGCCGTAGGCCAAAGGGCGGTCAAACTGTGGGGTGGTTGGGGTGCCGGATGAATTTTGGGGCTGGGCCTTGGGATGCCTCCCAAGGCTACAGCAGTGGCTGAAACGCGATTTTTATCTGGACCGGCAAACATCGGATTGCTGACTGGCCTTTTTTCGGTTTTAGTTTCTTCTGGGAGTGGACTAGTAGTATCGACTTGGGAGTTTTTTTTACTGAAATAATATTGATATTTTTGTAGTAATTTGTTGAATAAGTTACTATTTCCACATGTGATATTGCAAGCAAGTTTAACTATTCTTGAAGCCTGACTCGATGTTGCAGTTAAAATTATTTTTAATAACTACATCTTTGTTAATAATAATTGCAGACAATGGTTTTTTGACACTTTTTGCCTCAAACTCTTCAACAATTCTTAGTTTTTGTGTTGTTAATTTTTCAGAAATTTTTGCAACTTTCAAAATAAGCTTCAAAGCTTTCTAGAATTAGATAACCTACGGAAAGTCGTTGAAGGTAGGTACTCGGGTAGGTACCAAAGTAGATGAAAAAAAAGATAAGAAACCTTTTTCTGAGATAATTTTAACTTGGAAAAAGCTTTTGAAGATTCAAGATTCACAAGGAAGGTTGGACTTTTAAGGACTTTAGTAACTACGAAGCTACATAGAAGATTGTAGTTCAGTAAAACACCATCATTTCGACATCACATAAGTTAAATGAAATGAGGTTCAAAGTGGAAGATGAGTGGGTCGACACTCTTGCTGGCAGGGTTGCTGGAAAAATACAGGCCAATGAAAACTGTGCCAATGATTATGAGTCTAAAGAGTAATGAAGCACCGACTACAGGTGATTCATAAAAAGAAAGTTCTTGCAACATGTTAAATAAAGTTCTGATCCAAAGTCAACGGGCTCGAATGCAGCAATGTACTCCGGAAGAGGTCCAGGCAAAAAGTTTACGAAAAACAAAGTTAAGTGCTTTGGATGTGGCAGAATATATGGGTCACTCTAAATCTCAGTGTAGAGCAGGCAGCTCACAAGATACTAAAGGTGATCAAAATAAAAGCACCAATAATGCTTTTCTAGCATGTTTATCTTCCCAAGAAGTAAATAGTAACGATGGTTGTTACAGTTTTGTGCTTCTGTTCATTTAACCAAAAAATAATGACTGGTTAGTCAATTCGACTGCGAACCACAGTGATATGAATAATCAGGCCTATAATATATAATTTTATTTCCTACTTTACTATTATAGATCCATAATACCTAGGAAACGAAATACGTTAACACACCTATAACAACCTGATTCATAACGCCCGCTTTTGCGGGCGTTATGATCTATAACGCCCGCTTATAATATCTTAAGGTGTTTTTGTTGTTGTTGTTCTATTAATTTGCACTTTACCCTAGGCAGCCACTAAATGTCTGACCGAAAATAATTTTCGGTCTAGCCAGGATTCGAACCCGGTCTACCATCAACGTTTCCCATGTAGTCCAGCGCGTTAACCCACAGGACCACCACCGTTGCCTTGCCTTATGAGATGTTTATAGATATATTAATTTATTTCGTTTCTATGTACAGGTCGCAGGTACAGGTACAGGTCACAGGTACAGGTACATGTCAAAATACAAAACAATATTCTGTCACACAAGTTTAACTGATTTTGTTAATAACAAATTGATGAAAAAACATTGTGTTGAGTAGAAAATAAAGCATTGTATGCACCACGGGGATTTCAAGATTATAATGCCCTTCAGGCGAAATATATCCCTCGGGCCATAGGCCCTCGGGCTAGTTTCGCCTTCGGGCATTATAATCTACATAATCCCCTTGGTACATAAATAGCTATTATTTTCTACTTGACTATTATAGATCCATAATACCTAGGAAACGAAATACGTTAACATACCTATAACAACCTGATCCATAACGCCCGCTTTTGCGGGCGTTATGATCTATAACGCCCGCTTATAATACCCTGAGGTGTTTTTGTTGTTGTAGTCTTATTAATTTGCACTTTACCCTAGGCACCAAACAAATATAATTTTTTTTCTCGAAAACTATTAGAGATAAACCTATCGAACTTTATATCATTAAAATCAACAAAAACAGAGCTATCCAATGAGCTATTAATATATAGAGAGTTTCATTTGGAAATATCGGAATTTGGTCGATATCTCGAAATCGGAGCGATATCGAAAAAAATCGAGTCCGCCACTGGATTGTGCTCAAAAAAGTGTCTCCATAATGTTTTTACAGAAATGAAAAAAATTGATAAATAAAAAACTTATAGCCATTTTTCATAATAGGGGAAAATCAAAAATCGCCCTGTATTAATGGTACCATTGAAGATATCGCGATACGGTTTTTGACAATCGACGTTTCTCGAAAATCGATCCCATGACATCTAAGTCAATTTTCCTCTATCTGGTCTGGAAGTACGTTTTTCCTGTTGAAACACTCCAAATTGCAGCACCCTGTACATGGTTATTGGTTATAAATGTCACCCCCTCTATCTTTTTTATTTGACATTTTAGAAAAAAGCATCCCAAATAAAAGTTTTATGATTGAAATTATTTTTTTTTAAACACTCACTTTCGCATATACAGGGTGTTTCAGAAAAGCTGGTCGTGCTCCAAATTTCTTATTTCGAATAGAATACCCTGTATATTATTAGATATTCGGATTCTACGTAAAATTCTGAGCAGATTTCATGTAACATACCCTATACCTGAGTTCAACTGTTTTGGAAATATTGACATTTGAAAATTGACTTTTTTGCAACTTTGACAGGTTGTAAATCCTAAAAGGTTAATTTTAGAGCAAAACCGATCTTACATTTTTATTTTAGATTTTTATAAACTATCAGTTGAAACCAATATTCGACATCAACTTTGAATTTAATGCCTGATTCAAAATTCCAATTAAATTTAATCTTCGGTTAAATTCAAAGTTGGTGTCAAATGATAACTTGTGAAAATCTTAGAAAAAAATGTAAGATCGGTTTTGCTCAAACGTTAACCGTTTAGGTTTTACAGCCTGTCAAATTTGCAAAAAAGTCAATTTTCAACTGTCAATATTTCCAAAACAGTTGAACTTAGGTATAGGGTATAGGGTATATCACATGAAATCTGCTCAGAATTTGACGTAGAATCCGTATATTGAATAATGTACAGGTATTCAATTTAAAATAAGAAAGTTGGAGAACAACCAGCTTTTTTGAAACACCCTGTATATGCAAAAGTGAGTTTTTCAAAAAATTTAATTTCAATCATAATTTTTTTATTTGGGACACTTTTTTCTAAAATGTCAAATAAAAAAGTTAGAGGAAGTGACATTTATAACCAATAACCCTGTACAGCAACAGATTTTCAAATATGTAAATACTGGAAATACTACTGCAGGAAATGCTTTAGGCAATAGAAAATAGACAGTTTGTTGTTTCCAGTGCAATAAATACGGACATTTTGTCAAAGTGTAACAACCCGAAGAGAGACAAGGATAAAAACCATGACAAAAATAATGTCGCAATATAGTCATTTTATTTGTGTCAAATGGTTAAGAAAAATTACTCTGTTGTTTTTGAAACCACTGATTTATGATTATATCAACAGGGACACTTGATAAGGATTTATCCAAACTAGAATTATTGAAAAATGAACATGTAGCATGCCATGCAGCAGCAGATCCAATCTTATGGCACCATAGGCTAGGGCACATATATTTTAATAGTTTGAAATGAACTTAAAAATGATATGGCATCCGGAATAGATTTTACAGTTTCAAAAGCCTGAATGCAAATAATGTGAAATATGTGTCGGAGGAAAATGTAACAGGCTACTATTCAAAGACAGTGAATCACATACTAAAGAAGTTTTGGAATTAGTGCTTTCAGACCTTTGTGTGCGTGTGCCTATTAAAGTCACCACTCAATATTTCACGCAGTAAATGCTTGATTAAAACGAAAGACGAAGTTTTCGATTGAGTAATTCAAGCTTTTAAAAAATTAGTGGAAAATCAAACCGGTAAAACAATAGACCTATCTCCTATTACCTGGACTGCGCGCGTCGCTTGTAGGCTGCAGGTGAGCGTCCAATGAGAAGCAAGTCTGTGACAGGCTTGCATCATATTCTTATTCAGGGGCCAGTTCAGAATGAATTGTTCCTTTTTTCTTTGTAACGTGTAATTTGACAAAGAGCAAACTAATTCTTTACATATTACTTGAACTCACCGCAGTTTCGTTTAAGATTATACTTGACATATTCCTTTGCAATTTCATTGAGCGATGTTGCCGGAGGAAACATTTATCAAAATAAAAGTGCAAACGATGTTCATCCACTTTAAAACTCTTCTTTTGTCTGATATAAGGCATTGTAAAACACTTGACACTATATCACTTCTTTTATGTTATAATATTCGATTTGTATTGTCTACATTTATTCTGCAACAATACAATCTGGCTACACTGCAGCCTACGAGTTGCGCGCGCATGTCATCTTTTATTGCTTTCTAACTTGTATTTATTACAATTAAGCTCTCTTTTTCTAATCATGCGAGATAGGTCTATTAAGACAATGGGGGTGAAGACATTACAAAAAAAAGACCGAATACAAGGATTCCATATTGCTGAATTCAAAAATATGTGAAAAAACCTACCTAATTGCTTGCCAGGGCGAGCAGGCCTCGAAGAAAACATCCATCTTATCTTTCTCTTACAACAAATTCTTGACGAAACTAAGACGTACTTATCTGCGGTGATTTCAACTACCCAGAAATATGTTGGAAAACTCAAAAACTAACTAAACCTTGCCCAAAAGCAAGCGAGTTTCTTTCACACTGCAAAAAGTGGAGATGTCGGCAACTGGTAACTTTTCACACTCGATTCAGAAACAATCAAAGCTCCCTGCTTGACCTGTTTCTCATCACTAAAAAAAAAATGATATTATATCACACATCGACAACTATGAACATGTATATGACTTTGATTACATAGGAAACTACATGTCAAACATTCAACCAACACTAATGGCGTTTCCGATTGGTAGATTCAGTGCGCACTGAGTGTATTTGCATCCTTTTAATCGACCTGTAGAAGAAAGGAAGAGAAATAGAAAAAATTGCACTAGTTCCGCACTAAATCTACCAATCGGAAACGCCATAAGAGAGTATCAAACTTTTCAGAACACCATTACCAGTATAATAGAAACATTTTTTCCAGAAAGGACGTGAAGAACCAACAGCCAAAAACCTTGGCTAATCTATGGAACAAATAAATATACATATAGAACAGAAAACAAATGAGAACTACAGCCTGTACAGGACACAAAAAAACAATCTCAAGCACTTAATATCAGAATCAAGAAAACAATACGAAGAAAACTTCCTAGCTTATGAAAAGCTGCAGACATGAATGTAAAATCCGTTTTGCTGTAAAATTAACAGTTTAGGTTTTACATCCTCTCAAAGTTGCAAAAAAGTCAATTTTCTACTGTCATTATTTCCAAAACAGTGGAAGATAGGTATATGACACTATGTATGAAATATATCTAGAATTTTCAGCAGAATCCACAAATGTCATAATATACAAGGTGTCCCGTTAAAAAAATATGAAATTGTAAAGTATGAACAAAACTATGTTTTCTGAGATTTATTTTTCAAGCAGTACAACTTTCCTATTTAAATTTTTTTTATACATAGTGGCAGAGAAAAGTTAAGGGGGTGGTGAAATATAAAAAATGACCCTGTACATAACTTACATCAGACCAAAACTGGAAGATGGCTACACTGTTTGGAGCCCCACACTATATTAAAAACATTGAACTTCTGGAACGCGTCCAACGCAGAATAACCAAAATTCTATCGGAACTTGGCAACGTACCATACGAATTGAGACTACAGAGATTCAACCTCACAACATTGAAGAAAAGAAACCTATACAATTCTAAATGCTTACTACTCTCCAGTGCTAAGGGTCCTTATTCTTGAAACAGGGAGCAGCGTTTCCAGGAGAACGAGTTTTCTGTCTTTCTCAAAAATTTGCAAATGACAATATAGTAACAACGACAGAACATTCGTTCTTCTGGGAACGCTGCTCTCCTGTTTCAAGAATAAGGACTCAAAATGGAAGAAATGTTTCTTAACAATCAAAACAATCTCTCAAGGGACATCGTCAAAAGCTGAAAAAGGAAAAATCTGCTCTTCTCGGAAGAAAATACTTTTTAAGTAATAGAGTGGTATACGAATGGAACTCACTCAGTGCGAAAACTAGATATAAGTGCATCTACCAAAAACAGTTTCAAAAACAAACTAGATGAGAATTTAACAAGCCTCCTCAATTACCTGTAATGAAAAAGTAATATCATCAAAAAAAAAAGTTACAGGGACTACGCATTTTTGGGTGCAAAGTTCATGGACATATTCCTGAAGAAACTCGTAAGAAACTTGACAACAATAGTCAGTCTATTGATAGGATACAGTACAGAAAAACGCGTAAAGATTATACAACCCTTCCGGTAGGTAATAAAATAAAGTTTTTGTAGCTAGTCATCACAGTCTGATGTCGAAGAACAGCATGAAAGTGACCCAGAAAATTATCCAGATGTAGATCTTATATTTTAGACCGTATCATAATGTAGAGGTTCCATCTCAAGGATTAACAAGATCTGAAAGTCAGAAAATTACCTAAAACTCTAGATAATTATGAAGTTAGTTTTGTTACTATGATTGATCTTTCTGATCCTGAGACCCATCAGAAAGTTCTAAGTATAGATCTGATTGTGACAAATGACGTAAAGCTATGAATGAAGAATATTTAGCACTCATAGATAACAATACATGGGAACTAGTGACAAAAAACTTTTAAAATGCAAATGGGTATTTAAAGTAAAAAAGGATTTAGATGCTGCAATTGTAAAATATACGGCAAGACTAGTAATTAAAGACTGCAGTCAAAAAAGGCATTGATTATGTAGACGGGACCTACTCCCCATTTATAAGGTAAACATCTTTAAGATATTTACTTGCTATAGCCGCAGAATTTTGCTTAGCTTATGAAATACAGGTTCATAACTAGGGCTGAATTAAGGTAAAATTTTGGTAAAAATCACTGATGATCCCTTTTTAGAGCAGAAACGTAGGCCAATCATACTGAAGAGGTATATCGTTAAAAAGGGAATAAAGAGCGGTTTCTGAAAATGACATAAAAAATCCAGGTCCATATTTGAAAAAATGAAGTTGATGATGGGATGGTAGCTCGATCACGAAACGTCGGATTTAAAATCTGAAGATGTCATGTTGTAGAGCGGAAAACATTATAAAACTTTCAAATTCAAATCAATAGTTTTCAGTAGTAATAGCCCAAAGACATTGATAATTCTCCGAAAAAAATTTATAACAGATTTCGAAAGCTTGTTGCTTGATTCTATAAGCAACAAGCTTGAGAAAGACGTTGTAAAATTTTTGAGTATTTATCAATGTTCGAGGGTTATTCGGATAGAATTTTTTTTTACAGCTATCTCCAAGGCAATGTCATAGAGTTAAAACAACCCTAAAGTTCATTTCACGAAACGTGATAGTGAAAGTAAACAAACTTTGACAGGTAAGTGGAATTTTATTGGCTAAAAAAGGATTTTACTCCGCCCTACGCAGGACCGTCTTAGGCTGTTTTGTATTTCTCCTCTCTGAATATATTTCCGAACGAATTCTTCAGCGGAATCTGTTGAACTTGATATTGTTTTGATCTAAATTGCTCACTAATCCACAATAATTGACCAAACACTATTTAAATAATTGTAAAATACTAGGAAATACGACATTAAACTTCTTGACTCATATGACAACTTGACAATAATAGATGTCATTAGTTATAATTCATATTTTTGCAGTCCTTCTCTGAGTTTTTAAGCTCCGCCTGTTTGTTTACCTCTACTATCTCGTTTCGTGGAATGAAGTTTAGGGCTGTTTTTAGTATAATGTTGACATGATTGGGTGATTTGTGTCACATGACAATAAATAATAAAATTGAACTGACTGTTGGAACTGTCAAAAATTTTTCGAAATAATTGATGAAATATTTTTAGGCGTTTCTTAGAAATCAGCCTGTATTTTATGAACTAAAAGGACTTTGGCAACACTGTAAACAATTCTTGAATAGGCATCAAATAAATATAGTTTAAAAAAAACTAAAAAACACGCTTTTATAGTAAATTGAACTAAAAAGTGACAAATAATTTTTAATATAAACAGAAAATATTAATGAACAAAAAATATTAGAATTATTGTGAAAAAAGCGTGGGGTGCTTTGTTCCACATTCTTGTGCAAACTTTGTCAGCTTTCAAATTCACAAAGAAAAGAATTGAGAAAAGCGTGAGGCCCGAGGCCAGAAATGACGCAAAAATCGCGTATAAAAAGGGCATGTCTATGCAGTTGAAAGACAGTAAGAAAAAGTCAGTAAGAACGGTCAGTTAGAAGCTTTTGATTATTCTAAACAACTGAAAACCTAGGATCCAACTACCGAAAATTAATCAAGAATAACAAGGACTTACCAAACAACCATCCCAGGAGATGTCATTAGACAGCACAACCAGAAACTTCAATTAAAAATTATCTGAACATCGATATCCAGAAATTATTCAAAGCCGATACCTTATATTGACTAATACATTAGAATATGAATAAAGCGAAAGTTCATGGACCTTTTTTTTTAAGTGCTTTCAACAATTTACATTCCAAAGGAGCCGAAAAATTTCTTAAAGGATCAATAAATCATGCACGAGCCTATATGATGATACCCACTTAACAAACCACTTAGCGACGCCCTTGATAATTAATTAAAAGGGAACCAAATACACTAATTGATCGGATGATTCAACCACGAAAAATCGAGGTCAAAAAAATAAAGAAATTCAAGACAATGGAGGGACCAATGATGTGAAAAGGCAACTTTGGCAGGAGAAAATGAATGTTCGAGAAAACCAGTGTTCGAGAAATAGCGAGTAAACCGGAAGGACCAGTGTCGGTTCAGTAATCAAGACACAAGTAATCGAGAATCGAGAGACCTGTGTCCAGAAAGTCAGAACTACGGCGTGAAAGAGTTGTCGAATTAACTGAGATAAGAAGCACGACGTAAAATAACAGCGCGAAAATATTCGAGTTTTTTATTAAATGTTCATAATTAAAGTAAATTCTTTCGACCAATAAGATTTCCATGTAATTAGGTGTGGCCAGCAGAAAATATATTATTGTTAAATGTAAGTAGAGTTTTTTTATGTCCAACCAGAAATTGTGATGGCAAGAGTGTGAATCGAGTCAAAGTGTAAATAAAAATTTTTACTTGGAATCATATAAATTTTCCTTAATAGTTAATTGATGCTTATTAGAAATCTAAAAATTTTATTGTGAGATTATTTATTACCGACGCCTGTTATTTAATAACAAGCAATATTTGAAATGAACTTTATTTTAATTGATTTCTGAGTTTTACTCTCCACAGGCAAATAGGACCCATGTGTCTCCACTCAGAAACTAAAGTCACCGCTCGCCAATTTAACATCTTGCCAAGTTTCTGAATTTGGGGTCTCACAAGTTGAAAGTTGAGTAATAAGTCAGTTTTCGAAAATGTAGTAAACAGTAAATTTTAATCTAACTGTAAGCAAAGTTACGATATTAGGAAGGTTAAGAAATGCCTATTCCTAATATATTTGAGAATGAAGAGCGATCTTTTACATGTCACCAGCACTGGGACTATGTAACGGATATAGAGATCGTTATCTCTATTGCTATGGCACTTGTTGTCTTCTTCTATCTTTTCGAAATCGATAGATAAGGGAATAGGACCAATAGAGATAGAGAAAATATAAAAATAACAGATGGTTTAAATGCAGACAAAAACAAAGTTTTGAAACTTAACAGAGTACTCTGTCTCAATCGTCTATTCGTAACTCTTGTACTTCTCTTCTAATTTTCTTAGTTTACCAATTTTTTCTCAGTTTGCCTTGAATTTCTTCTCCATTTCTCTATTTTTTCATCTGCATTTTTACCTATTCCTGACAATTTTTATTTTCTTTTCATCTTCTTCATTGTCTTAACAACTTTTTTCTTAATTTTCCCTATGAACTGATAACTGAAATCTTGCTTTAGGAGATATTCAAACTAGAAAATCTACAACTTAAACTGAATGTCAAAAAGCTTCTAGATTTACAAAGATGCGTTCAAGAGTGATTAATACCTGGAGATTTTTCTAGTTTAAAATGTCATTTCAAACTTACACTTTACAAATATAAGCAACCAATAAGACGACAACAAAACTCAGCAACAATAGTACAGTTCCAAGGGCAGCCAACAAAACAGGAGCTGAAGTTTTACTTGCACCTCTTCCAGCTACCGGAACGTCTGAACTAGAACCAGAAAAGTGCACTGTAACTGGTACAGTGGCCTTTTTAGGAGGCTCTCCACTGTCTGTAGCCGTCACTGTAAGCGAAGCAGTTGCTCCAGGAATATCTAGAAAATTTTCTATTAAAAAAAATCGTATAGATCACAATAATAACTACCTTTGCCATAATTTCTAAGCCTCAACTCTCCACTGGGAGTGATAAAGAACATGGAAGCATCTGGGCCAGATAAGGCCAAAGTCAATTTATCACCTCTGTCACCGTCTGCAGCTTCAATTCTGCCAACCAAATCTTGAGTGCCTCCGGCAAAGAATTCGTAGTGAGGATATCTAAAGCGCGGTTCCCACTCGTTGACATTTTCTATCGTTATGTTTACTGCACTGGAGTCATTCTATAGGAATTAAATTTATATTATTTGATCCAAATCGAGAAGCCAGAATTTACTGTATAAATGAAGCTCTTTTGAGTCCAAGAATTGAAGTTTAAAGTATCTCTTACCGTTTTCCCATCAGTAGCAAACACTTTGAAAATAAACTCCGGCTTAGCCTCAAAGTCTAGTTTGCCTTTAAGTGACAACTCCCCTAGAGTATTGATAGCAAACATTTTTAAAACACTCTGATCCGAAACGAAGTATTTGAGATGATGGCCTGGACGATTATTGGCCAAACTTCCCACCAAAGCACCTGGAATAAGGGCTTCAGATACCCGAAAGTTGAACACTGGATAAGTGAATTTGATGCCCTTAATCGAAGATGATCTCGTAACTGTCAGTGTTGCCAATGCGTATCTATAATATTTAAAAATGTATTTTACTTGGAATAAATAGAATTCAATATTTTACCTGTCTGGATTGTCTTGTTGGGTGGCTCTCAAAACCAAAGTAGCACTATATCTCAAATCGCTTTCCTCCAAGTTTTTGGTCAAACTAATCTTGCCAGTTTGCCTGTCTAACCCAAACAAGGAATACTCACTCCCTACTCCATTCCATGTATAATAAATTGGGGCCCCTATCCCTTCGTCTTGGTCAAAAGCCCGGATATCTCTGGGTTTGATTTTTAAAATCGTGCCTTTTAAGGCCCGCTCATGAATTAAAGCTGTGTAGCGATCATCCAAGAATCTTGGATTTTGATCGTCAGCATCTATAACGTGCACTGTCAGTACTGTATCAGCACTTTTTGGGGGTTCTCCATGGTCTTGCGCCCTTATATTGACATCAAACTTCTTCAAAGTTTCATAGTCCAAAGGTTTTTTTAGTACCAGGGTACCTTCAAGTTCGTTTTCGAATTCGAAAAAATCCGAACTTGGTCCGGGGAGTACTGAGAACTTAACGCTGGAAAAAGGTCCTTGTTGGTCATTGTCGATGGCGTGGACTCCTTGAAGTACTCTGGTTCCGACAACTGTTACTTCGGAGATGTTGAGGACGTAGGGGGCGTTGATGAATATCGGTGCGTTATCGTTGGCATCTGTAACTCTAAAATAATTTGATTTCGTATTTATTTATTTATTTATTTCCCTACCATAACTACAAAGTTTATTACAGGGAATATAGTTCTCACCTGATATTGATCGGAATAACAAATCCAGGATCCAAAGTGCCCAGCTTGTCACAAATTAAGCTGACAAACACTGAAGCTGGTCCGTCGATTCCTTCTTTATCTAATATACTTTTCAGGGTGAGGTTTTTGGAGCCTTCTGCAATTTCCACAGGGCTGTCCGCCTCTTTGAGTCGCAAGGATATGGTTCCTACTACAGGTCTAGGGTCTCCTACTACTTTCAGTCTGCCAATGACGTCGCCTACTGGTAAGTCTTCAGGGACGAAGAAGGTTTCGGAAGAGGCGCCGTTTTCTAGATAGCAACGGTTGTCTTGGAGGGCTAAAAGAAAATTTGGATTGTTTAATTAAAAAAAAATTATAGAATAAGTTTTCTATATTTAAAAAGAAGTGAAAAAACACAAAACATGTTGAAATACAATTTTCTACTCAATTTGGACATTTTCTCTAAAATTCTTTATGAAGCTACACAAGGTCTTCAGTGCCGGCCCAAGATTACTTTTAGGATGGAGCGAGATCCGACTTTAGCGCCCCTAATTTATGTGAATCGTATACTCTATCCACCGATATAGGAAATGTCATAAAATTCAATAAATAATCTGCCTCTTCTACTGATATTGTTCGGCTACTTGCCTATTTCCCTTAAACTGGAGAGTGGAGAAAGCAATAGGAAAAATAATTCAGGGCAGCCCTGTTCTGGCAGGCGAAATTTTGACGAGAACGTACCTTTCAGTACCTGAGAATAACAACATTCAGGGCCGGATTTATAGTCGTTCTTTGAGTCTTCCTTGGAGGTCGTGAATTAACTCGTTACTATTTGACAAGTTACTTTCAAATCTAAACGTTCAATGAAGTTCAAGGCTCCCAAAGAAAGGTCTGAGGAAACCTCAAGGAGCGACTATTCGACGTCAATCTGGCATGAAATTTGGACGCTAATAATAATAATAATAATTAATAATGTTTATTATCGTTCAGAAAAGTACAATACCTATACAAAACAATTATAAAAATACATGATAATAAACAGGCTCACGTTTCAAGTGTGAAGAACACTTGTTGTGAGGTTTGCAAATCAAGTTTGCTTGTTTAGAAAATTTGTCCAATTTGGGTTGATTGTCCAGATCGAGTAAAAAGTCATATCCAGGTTTAAATTTAGTAATTTCCGGGCTAGTAGGGTCACATTCGAGAATATACTTCCACATCATTTTGATCACTGCATAACATTTTCTACGAGTTCACTAGCGCTTTTTATCCATTTTTTTAGTTCTTTCTTAAATTTAACGATTTAACGTTGAGATTTTACAGAATCTGGCATCAAGTTATACAATCTAGGAGGAAAATAACCAATATGCCTAGTGCCTATTATTTTCTTGGCTCTAGGAAGCCTAGATATCTTTCTAGAAACATTTCTTATTCGGTGTGGATGACTCATGACCTCAATCCTTTCTTTTATTGTTGAAGATTCTTATAGCTATCTTCTTACACAATAACTGCCTAATATTTAAAATCTCCTAGTTATGTTTAGGACTACTTTAGGAATCAGTTTCTGCAAATTTTAGTTTTAAGATATGAAAATCATTCATACCACCATTGATACCACCCCACCCACAGAGGCCATATGTCAAGTGCGATTGAACTAGTGCAAAATACAATATTCGTAAATCTGACATTTTAAAATATTTTTTGAAATATTTGAACCTAGACACCAGATATGTAAGCTTTTTGACGAGGATATTTGCATGTACTTCCCATCTAAGGTGTTGGTCTGTAGTGACACCCAAGTATTTGACCGCCGACTCTACTTGCGTCACACTTCTAGAACCTGCAATCTGTAAAGTTCCATTAGGATGAAAAAGGTAAGTAATATGTTTTTTCTCCGAATGACAGTAAAAGCGGCCTTTTAATGACACTTGACAGGATCAAAAGTTGTATTATTACTGCCTAGGCAGTAAAAGTGGACTTTTACTGCCTAGGCATTAAAAGTGACAGTGTCACAACGTTCCAGGTAATAATTTCACTCAATTTGGCATTTGAAATTGATGGTGACAATGACAATTGTCAAAATAATTTGGATAATAATAATCAATGAAATAAATATAAAAAAGATGTCTATGTGTGAATTTGAACATTCGGAGAAAAAATTATATGTTTTACATTACAACTTTAACCTCGTATAACTCCTAAACCGCTGGAGGTAATGAAATCATTTTTGCTCTAGATTCTAGACAAATATATTCTCTTTAATATGGTGTATATATTGTTCGAAAAATATTAAAGTAGAGCTCAAAAAATCAGTTATTTCGTAGGCACGGCGCGAATGAGTAAAATATATGTTTGCTTTAACCTGCGGTAACTCCTTTATATATTGGAGTATTAACCTAATTTTTTGCTCAAAAACTGGCAAATTTAATTGGCTTTCTTTCGTCTCAATTATATGCCGACCTATTTTCAAAAATAAACTAACTAGAGCCGTTTTAACAGAACAAAGCGCGGTCTGGCGGCAGAAATTGTGTGGCTTCCCTCTCATTCCCGCTGCCTGCTGACAACCACAGGCATGAATTAAAAAACTGTGTGATGTCGTAGACTGCATGCAATGACATGACAGTCAATTTTTCTTGTTCATGGAACTTTATGTTCTATTTTAAAAAAATCTAGTTTATCGGGTTCCGCTTGCATCAGGAGTTATTGCTCAGGCAAGATGATATTATCAGTAACTAGTAACACAAAAAGTTAATTGGAAAATATCCATAATTTTTGGGAAACTTGTAAGTACGAACGCAATTAAGTTAAAAAAGAGAATGAGTGCACGTCAAAACTTTAAAAATTAATTAAATAGGTAGGTGGTTGTTCTGTGAGCCGATAATAAGTTATCGGATCTATTATCCCGTAAGTTCAAGTATGATTGGTCTAAATGAGCATCTACCATTTGTCCAATTAATTGTTATATTTGACAGATCTCTCTTTTACGCTTCACGTAAATTTTTTCATTTTGTAGACGGACTAACATTGACATCATGGATAATTGTGTTATATGTTGCAAAACATTTTCGGCGGAATTACCTTGTGGTCCTTGTGTTAGAAAGCCAACAAAACAGAGCTACGCCGGAGCAAGGTACTACTCCCTGTACCTGTACTAATAGATATTAGGTTTTTCTTTTTATTGGTGCCGCTTTTACCACAAATCAAGTAGTCAGCTTCTATATTGAAATTCTTCTTACCACTACGACCGCTGCTTCATGGAAATATTCTGATTATGTTTGGGTTATTTAATTTCACTATTTTATCAATATTATTTTTGCTGCAAAAAGATCTTCTGCAACTTATATAATATCTGAATATTTAGGGAATTTTTTCCAATTTTAATTGAGAAACGGTTAGATGTATTTCAAAAATCGTCAAAAGTTATTGAGAATAGTTAAATGTTATTCAGAATGCGTTAATTATGATTGACGATAGTCATATGTAATTGAGAAACCGTCAAATGTAATTGAGGATGAAACGTTAAATGTGATTGTGAATGCGTTAATTGTATTTCAGAAAACATCAAATTAAATTCAGAATAGGTCAAAAGAAATTAAGATCATGCAAAATTCGAAACTGTGGAAAATAATTAAGCAATCCATATCCGATAACCCATACATTTTCACGAATTTGTGGCACCTCGTATATAAAGTTTTCGAATCTTTATGATCTCAACTTTATTTTACCTATTCTGAATGTCATTTGATGCTTTCTGAATTACATTTTTAACGTTTTTTCAATTACATTTGACTATTCTCAATTACTTTTGACGATTTCTGAAATACATCCAACCGTTTCTCAATTAAAATTGAAAAAAAATTCCCTAAATATTCAAACATCATATAAGTTGCAGAAGATCTTTTTGCAGCAAAAATAATATTGACAAAGTAGAGAAATTAAATAACCAAAACATAAAGTATTTCTATGAAACAGCGGTCGTAGTAGTGGGTAAGGAGAAGTTTAATATGAAAGCTGACTGCTTAATTTTTGGTGAAAGCGGCACCAATAAAAAGAAAAACTTAATATCTATTAGTACAGGTACAGGGAGTAGTACCCTGCTGCAAAAAAAATTGTCGCTAGCTCTGTTTTGTTGGTTTTCTAACTCAAGGACCACAAGGTGATTCCGCCGAAAATGTTTTGCAACTTAAAACACAATTATCCATGATGTCAATGTTAGTCTGTCTACAAAATGAAAAAATTTACATGAAGCGTAAAAGAGAGATCTGTCAAATATAACAATTAATTGGACAAGTGGTAGATGCTCACTTAAACCAATCACACTTGAAATTACGGGATAATAGATACCGATAACTTATTATCGACTCACAGAACAACCACCTGTAAATAGACACTAACAATTCTACCAGCATTCACATGACGCAGAGTGTGTATCCGTCTTAAGTTATGTTTGTCGTAGTCAGCTGTCGCTGTAAAATTGTCAAGGCTTTAGTTTTAGTTGTCAAGTCGAGTCGAATGTTGTAAGCTGTTATCGCTCAATAAATTAATTAATCAGTATTAAAACAAGTTCTTTTTACTACTGGCTTACCTACGGAAGTTAGGCAAGTTGTCTAAACATTCTACAGGTTATTGGCCCAGTGTGCTAGTGAAAGAAAGGAAGGCCAAAGTCAAGAAGGACAGGAAGTTTTAAAGTTTTTTTTTTTTTTGGTGTACTGTGGTGGAAAGGAAAAGGACAAGAAAATGGCGTCCTCAATTCCACAAGCAGTAAGTGTAATTAAACCATTCGACGGAAACGGATTTTCAAACTGGGAATTCCGGGTAAAATTGTGTCTGGAACATTATGGGTGTTTGGAAGTTTTGGAAAAGGATCCACCCGATGCAACAACAACAAATGCTGCAGAAGTTGCTGCTTTTAAGAAAAATGATGTTAAGGCAAGAAATCTAATAGTCCAAGTGCTGGCAGATAGTGTACTCGAAATGATAAAAACCAAGGGAACGGCCAAGGAAATTATGGATGAATTAAGAGGCACTTTTCAGAAACAGGGCATTGCAAATTTAGTTAACCTCCAAAGAAAATTGAGTAATATGAAATTTTCTGGCAATGACAAGCTAAACAATTTTTTCTTCGAGTTTGAGAAAACAATATCAGAAATTAAAAACAGCGGTGGTAATATTGACAACACTGAAATTATTACACAATTACTATCAGCCATGCCTGAAAGCTATCAGGTAGTAACCATCTCTATTGACATATTATTTTGTCAAGGTAGTGCCAATATTACTTTTGACTTCGTTAAAAACAAGTTGCTCATGGAGGAGTCCAGACAGATGAAAAACAAAGAA